CTGTCATGACTCTATTGACATAGAGTGGTTTTGCCTTCTCATGAGTGAATCCAGTCTCTCGTTCCGATCGGTTGGCAACAACTGGTAACTTCTCATCTCCCTGTTTACACATCATGAAAACACCATTAACAATGTGTGTTCAGACAAAGATGCTAAGTTTTATCAAATCAACTGCTTAGTAATTCTTCGCTACCTTAAGCAGCTAATTTTTTTTAATGTGTAACAGGAGATGTGCTTATATTTGCATTTCACATCTTTACATGTTTAGTTCACGTTCTTATATAAATATCTCCATACACACAGTAAAACACAAATACAATTTTTTCTTATAACTTTTAAACCTTGAAATTTCCTCTTGGCTTTTTTTGGTGTATTAATGTAAGCAAGAGTCTTAGAACCACATAAAAATATCTGATCTACGTGTTGGGCGTGATTGGTTAATTTGAGTCATTGCTCAATCTTTGCAGAATCTGTCAATCTTATTGCATGAATCACCTATAATTCTGCCATCAGCCAATTGCCTTTGCTTTCTAATTTATGGCAGAGGAAGATTCTTTCAAAGAAGTAAAGTCAGAGATTTCAAACTGGATCAACTGATGGCCCAGAGCAACTGCATAGTCATGCTGATCAACTAACACGCCCAACATCAATAAATCAAATGAACACATAAACAATTACCTGCATATATTTTGATGGCAAAAATGAAGTCTTCATAACACTCACACCAGTTGGACGATCAGTGTAGAAACCCTGTCCATAAATTTTCTAAAAATTATTTCCCATATTCATACAATAGGAATATGTAATATTCATATACTATATACAGTGAATGCCAAAGTATTTGTATGTAATATCCATATATTGTATACAGGGAATACCAAGTATTCGTATGTAATATCCATATATTGTATACAGGGAATGCCAAAATATTCGTATGTAATATCCATATATTGTGTACAGGGAATGCCAAAATATTCATATATAATATCCATATATTGTATACAGGGAATGCCAAACATTTGTATGTAATATCCATATATTGTATACAGGCAATGCCAAAGTATTCAGAAGTGCTAGTGGACATGATTAAAATCTCATATAAAGATTTGACATTTGTACAGAGGTTTAAAAGATAATGAATGAAGATAGAGCATTAGCTAATAATGTTACAAATCATTCATATTCATTTGCTAACAGTCTCACGCAGCTTATTACAATACTTGCAAATATTTATCTGAAAAACTTACTGGCAGCTCATTGGAAAATGAAGACCCAGGATGAAATTGGATTGGTTCAACGTTGTAGGCATGTGTGTATCCTGACCCTTCCTTCTTGCCAACAGTTTTGGTCGATGTATCAACTAAAATAAGGGATCAGAGAAATGTTTATGCACTAAGAAACGATGTATGCTCTGCTGTGTATTAGAAAGGCTTCCTTCATCAAAAGATTACTTTCATTTTTCAACTGAAAAGAAATTCTTTCTTTTCAATGACACTAACAACCTGCAAAATATTCTACATAAAGCAGCTGTCAGCTCTGGCTTGAGTGATCAGGGGTGTTGCTATTTTGAAAATCCACAATGGCAACTGAGATTACTTACGACGTACACTCGGCCTTCCTTGGAAACGAACTTTGGACTCAGTTGACATGAAGCCAGGCCCCTAAAAGTTACAGAAGAAAAAAAATTACTTGTTCACTTAGATTACAAAGGCTTTATATTCCAATTATTGAAATCAGTTACGTCTTGCACGCATAAAAAACTACACTGTCCTTAATTGAATTCAGCATTTAATTGGTGTTGCATACTTCTTTTGAATAGCTTCACTCACTAAGCTGATAGACACATTTATTTAAAGACAATCTGAAATTCAGAATTTTTCTCTCCTCTTTTCCCAACTAGAACTAACTTGAGTAGTAAGCATGTGAGAAGACTAGAGAACTGTCCCATATGGAGGAGCATTAGCGTTATTTAACTGAGAGTACCCTACATTCCTAATCTGAACCTGTTATAGTCCAACTGGATTACGCATCATCACTCCATATTACTCACATGTGCAGCATTTTCAGTTGATACTGGATCCTTAGATTGGAGTTTGTGAAGGAGTGGTCTGTGCTTGGGAAGAACGCCACTGATGGCTGGCCCAATACCATGGTTACGAGTATCAACACAAACATGCCGTACCTGGTAATGAAATATGTGACCAGAGTTTCCATTGAAGGTACAGAAGGAAGGAAAGTTACAGTGTCTCCCCCCCCCAAAAAAACAACTGGTACAAGCAAATATTGTCTATCTGGCAGTACATGGTTTTGAAGAGGACATTCTAGGCTTGATGATTCATGTTATTTCATCTTCTTTGCTCTTGGTAAGCAAGAGATACGGTATGCCCCCAGTAAACCCGAGTACTCAAAAACTGAGTTTGCATCACTTCTCAGATAAAACAATGACCCCTCAGCATATTTCAGTGCACAATGCTGTCAGCAACTCTTTTGAAGTCAATTTGTAAAGGTAAAATGCACATTTGTTATTCTAGTAAGATCTAGTAGTCTGGCAAAAAACAGGTACATACTCAATGGTACTAATGACCAAGAAATCCAAGAAATAAGTAGCAATGTTCAAACTAAAGAACAAGATCTCAATAATCAGAGAGCAACGTTCTTGTTTGAATGGAGAGCTTACATTATTGACAGTGGGTGTTGTGATGGGATCTTGTCTCGTGAAGCCACTTCCAACCTGTGTCAGATTTAAAGGTAAGGGGTCGCGACCATCAGAATCACGGGACGGGTTGAAGTGCATTTTTGTGATGGAGGTATAATGCTTGCGTAAGAGTTTCCTGCAATGGAATAGAAGTACAAAAACTTGGCCATCATTTCAAAGGAAGGTTATGTAATCCAAATCATAAATGACAATAATTAAGAAACATTTTTTAATTAACCCTACCTCCCTAGGGTGTTTGTAAAAGCACATTAAAATTAAGGATTCAGGACTGTTAAAGAGAAGGCCCAATGTCAGTCAAATGAATTTCTGTTCTTATGCAATTTGTTTTCGTTTTTTCTTTTCATTCTGTTTTCCGTCCTACACAAGTATACAAGAAGAATTTGGAATTCTTAATGCTCTACAGAAAATAGCAAGAAGAAGTTGTCTCATAAAGTAAAAAACTTTATCTTTAAAAAACTTTAACTTTATCTTTGAGTCACGTACTCCATGGCTGGGTTGTCCAATATATCAATGCGCTGGCTGTAGTACACTCCAGGACGGAAGTTGGACTGGTAGCCTGTCCCAACATGCTTCCCGGTTCTTGGACTGTAGCCATCTTTGCCGTAGGTTGAGGAGTAGGTAGTTGAGAAGAACTTCATGATATCTGCATCGGGTCCATAGCTGGCATTGACGTGTGCCGTCTTTGGACCTTGCGGCAGCCGACCCATGATTCCTACTGGTGTCTGAGGAGAAACTGGTATTTGCCATCAATTTGTTGTGTGTCCTTGGGTAAAAGGCACATGTTGGTGCCAACATCAAACCTGTGAAAGCACTGTAGCACCCTCTGATGTCCACAGGCATTTAGGCCGTAATGATGGGATGTCAACACATGACATCATTCTTTGACAGTGTGAGTGAAATGGACCATATGGTGAAAAAAGTTTATTCAACTTTTATGGGCCCTAAACCCTGTATTACCCACACCCTCATTTATTTCACTCACTGTTCAGCCATGATACATGACAAAAGCAAGAAGGTGAGAAACACAGAATTCAGGGCCCATAAACAGATACAAGGCACAACATATTCAAATAATGCAAGTGTGTCACCTGTAAAGTGTCACATCCATTTGCCTTTAGTCTAAATTCACAGAGGAATATACATGGACTTCAGCAGGGACATTAATGTATAAGGGTGGTGTTTGCTCCTCTTTTTAAATTTGAATTTTAAAAGTTTTGAAATCTTAATTGAACTCAGTATTATTTCAATTCATTGAAGTACGACCCCCAAAAAGGTAAAATGTTTTGCTGTCTCAACACATCCCTTCTTCAATTTCAGTAACATATTTCCTTGCTTTGCAAAATCTAGTGGAATGTAAACTGAGGTCACCATTTTCTGATATCAATAGGGTCTGCTCTTTTTACTTATAATTGTTTCCTACAAGCTGACAAGTGGCTGCTAAAACTATGAGCTGGCCATCAGGTGTTCGTGCAAAAGTCAAAATAATTCACACACTGTTAAAAATCTAATGGAATTTTTTTCAAAACACCAGATAATAATACACATAGGCCTACTTAGTAATAATTGAAAATACAACCTTCTTTAATTAAAATTAATGAGACAAAGATGCATTTGGAATAAATTGGAGGTAAAATCAAAAACCAACGAAGGGTGATTTCTCAACCTGCAAAATTTGGCCACACACAAAAACTGTAGGTAAAATGAGTGTGATCTTTGTGTCTCTTAGAACCTTCTCTCAAAGATCTCTTCAAAAACAAAACAAAAAAATGAGTTAAAATTTCTCATCCCAACTACCCTTGGCAACTGACCAAATATTTGCTCAGCCTTCAGCAAGTTGGACTTCTTCATCTTTCCTCGCATTTCTCTTAAAGCTTATTAACATTTGGGTCTCCACACTCTGTGCTGTTCAATGAGGTTCAATTCAGTGCATTTGCAAATATCTTCCCTTAGGAAAAAGTTAACTGATACTTGAACTGATTTCTTGCGGTCACTGATGAGGCTGCACAATGATGCCATACGGACTGCATACATGAGCGAGGGCATTGTTTATTTGGGAAATTGTGATTAAAATTTGTCTTTTTCCACTGGCTCTAGCTCCTCTATTTAATTTCCAATTGCATTGAAATAAGGCATGAATAAGAACAAACATTTCATGGAAATGTGAATTATAAGCTTTTCAGTCAAAATCCAAACTCATTTTTGTGTACTAAAAAATCACAGTTTGCTCTACACGGATGCCATACACCTACAACATATCAAAACGTCTCAGAATATCCCTGTTAAGTATTTCTTTGCTTTGCAGCGTTCGATGGAATCCAAACTTATATCAAAATGTTTCTTATAACATCCTCTCCAAGATCACTTCAAAAAGGAAAGAGAAAAAATATAGATGAAAAATGTATGAGCCTCCCTACGGCATCATGGGGGCCTGCATCACTGCATGAAACTAACCATTGAACTGGGCCCTAGTCAGCGGTACTACTAGTACTACTACTACTACTAGTACTACTAACTAGGTACTAGTACTGTAGGCCTATTCTCTTACATCATGTAAATGCTTACCTGTTGCTTTACCTTTTGTCCAGCTGGGTTTCTATTGCAACTATGTCATTAATTCATTTAAAATATTAATTCCGTCCATTAAAAATAGTAAAATACGAAATTTCTATTAGTGGTAGGAGCTTCCACCATTCACTATCACATGCGGAAGTGCAGTCCAGCTGCTTGTACACGTTTCCAATGACAACAAGATGTTTTATTCATAAGTAATCTACATATTCATAACAACCTTATATAGCGCGGTAAGCTATGACGTATACTAAAGTTGGTTCCGATTCGGAGGGCTGGTAACACAATGCATGATCGCAGTGTTACTCAGGGCACATGTTCTCGGAAAAGAAGCAAGACATATACTTTGCGCATTAATTTCTCTGATTTTTGAAACTTTATTTTAATGTTTTAACACAAGAAAATTGTGTATGGAATGAAATTAGGTTTTATTTATAAAATAATCATCCAATAAGTCATTAAAATTACAATACTGATGCCTTGGGAAGAATTTATAGCGAGACCTATTTTGTTTATTGCTACTGCACCATCTATTTACCTGATTCGTTCTTTGGCTCACTCAGGTGTAGTGCAATTGAATGCGTAGTGCTGTGAGCACACCCCAAAAAGGCCGAAAAGCCGAAGGGTTCACCTGTTCATAATCGTGATATATACAATGGACTATTTTTAGATTATTCTGATCACGTTGACATAAATCGCAAGTCACTTCCTCGTGTGTTTTCGGTTATTTTTGTTGTTTGTAAGTTACGTTTAGGAGAAATCAGACTTCAGTGAGTTGTAGACCGAATACGCGAATCTTGATTTCCAATTCGAAGTTGTCAGGTTGTTTGAATAGTTAAGACAGAGCACTTGTCAGTTGCGCTGAACATTAATTTAAACATGGAGTTTGCCTCCACTCATGTGTACAACTACGATGAATCTGATGAGGAAGAAATCACAGAAACTGATCTGGATCTCAGGTAAGTTTCGGCATTTTCTGCTTGTTTTTGTTTGGTTCGTTTTTGTTTTTGTTTTTCTAATAGATTTTTCAATACACTTAAATCCTGATAAACACGATCTGAAGATCATTTATCGTCATGCCTCCTAAATCTACACAGTCCTATTTCTATGCACTCACCTTTTAGTGAACATTTTGCAGACACGCATGCTATTGAACAGCCAGTGGTCACTTGTATCATTTGTTTGTGTTCAAAAGTTTGGCAAAAGACCCCGAAATGTTGGGAATTAATTCTGTTTAGTTTATGTGTAAAAAAATATGCGACCCTTTTTCAGTGAATTTTCCTTGCCACAAGTACTAGAGTTTGTGTGGCGAGTCCCCACCAAAAATTCAGAAGTCTTCATGTCATAACAGTTCACCCTCTATTGTCTAGTAATTTTAACGTGTCACGTGATGTCATTGAACTTTTTGACCCAGTGAAGTGCTTCAGGGGTGCAAATAGGACCCTTCACTTAGATTTGAAGTTTCAAAATGTTAATTGTTTGTTTATGTTCTCAAGTGAGTGAATATTAATAAAAATTAGTGATGGATCCATTTTTAGAGTTTGTTTCTCATTTTCCCAGAAGAGAGCTACATGTAGATTACGCGGGTTTACACTGGGTTGCTCATATTCATGAATAAAGGTACATGTAATCAGTGATGGGATGGGATATGCACCAACCTGATTAACGTGGAAGGGCGCAGACATAAACCCAAGGGTGTCACGGTGGGTAGCGGTGTTCACTAACTTGTGATGGTGGATGAAAGATGTACAAATAACAAAGAACATGGCAGTAAATGTTGGAATGGAATTACATGTACATGTAGCTCTAACAGCTCCGGGACATTCAGACTAATATACATGTATTTGCCTTCTCTTAAACATTATTTGTTCATTATTATGATTACAGATTTATTTTTGGAGGGGGATTTAGAGACAAGGTCGATGTAGATAGTTAATGATGGAGTCGTGGGGTGTACAGCAGAGGGGACAGACCACTGGAGGATATGGGGTGTCATATTTAGTGTTTGGGCTGGTGAAGACTGTCAAAACTGACAAGTAAATAAGCAAAAGACTTTACTTGTAATTTATTATGCAAGACTGAGGACCCTTGTGCTATAAAAAGCAAAAAATACTGTTTATTAAAATTCATTTCCCTGTTACAGATTTAAGAAAGTTATTGAAATGATCTGGAAATGACTACTGGAAGATTTGAAGCTGTTGAAATTGTTTTCAAAATTCAAAGATTATATGTACATGTATATGCTGTTACGATGCCAAACACCGGGACTCACCCTTTCAATAAATATGGGTCATTCCATGAGGTTGGGGCACAATTTGTGACGATTTCCTTATTACATGGGTAACTTTTACCACCTGTCATGACCTATAGAGTACATGTACATGTAGGTCATTTACTCTGTAAAAATAACACACACCTCTGTATTCAGCCTTGCAAGATGTATAATTTGGAATCCACATGCAGGAAAATACATGTACATGTAGCTGTTCATTTTTACTGAACCCACGTAACAATGGACACCGTACTCTACTCTCATGTGTAGCATGTCTTGGCCAACGTAGATTTCAAAAGCCACCAGCTGCATAGATTTAGGCAGGAATTTTTACACACACATGTAGTCAAACCCACTAAAAGCTGCCTACTCCGGGGCACAAAAAGAAGTAACTTTTTGTGTGAATTGCGTCATTGACAGATTGTGAGTTGTAATGACCGTCATCATGCCGCAGGATTGACTAATAGTGCAGTGGTTGACCAATCACACATCACCTGACCATCATCATTCTTTCTTTCATTGCCTGCTATCAAGAACCTCTAAATGAACTTCTCAGTTTTTTACTTTAGGTACCGATAATGAAATTTTCATTGGAAGGATTTTGCTCCCAATCAATACAATTAATACATGTACATGTACATGTACGTGTAAAAGGTGAGGAGCAGCCTCAAGGAGGAATATCTACTGTACATGTGTATGTAAGAAATGGCCATTCATCCTTTTTCAGAAAAATAATGTATTCCGCCACCTGTGTTCAAGTCTTGTTTCAAAATGTTCTTGTTAATAGGTCAAAATACATTGGTCATTGGTAGATTTACCAAATGCAGGTCTTCATACACTTGTGTACTCAGGTACAGACTATTTGCTGACTGGTACTAGAACTATTTCACTCAATTTATTTGTTTCTTTTGCATGACTTGTAATTCATGCATTGAGATGTACAGAGAGTTGGTTATGTACTCAGATGTTTCCATTTACAAATGTACATGTGGGTCGTTTTATAAATTTGGGATACAATTTTTTTCTGTCCCTGTTACATCTGGCATTTGGTGTTTATGTTTAGATCGCATCGTTTAATTTCAAGACTGAATAATTACTGCAAATTACCTGCCAAACAAATAAAAATTGTTTGAAATCAATTTCAGTGATTACATCCCTTGTCAAACTGGTCAAATACATTTAGTATGTAGCGGTACATGTCAGAGGTAACATGGACGAAAAAGGTCACACTTTGGACCCCAGATGTATAGAATGACCCATGTACCGGGTACACCATAGCTTTGGAGGGGGCTTGTGAGTAGCATTCATCCTCTTATTGTCTTTTTATATATTTTTTGAAAGTATTATTTACATGTACTTTATTTCTTGGACATTTTTTTTCACAAGTTCCCACTACCAAGCCTTGCGCAGGTAAGATGTTTCTGAAATAACGTTCCAATATGTACATGTATGATGATATAACATGTACATGAACATTTTGCATTTCCTTTGTCAGCCACAAGTACCAGTTAAAGTCATGTACACATGTTTTTTCATTTTCTGCTTAGCATAATTTACTTTCTTGCTTGCAAAATGGTCAGTTTATTGGGTATACTACATGTACATGTATAGCCATAGCCAATCTCTGAAAGCATGTTTATTTTTCGCATGTGTCAGTAGATAAGAGTCATGCTAACTTACTTGTTTGAGCACTATGTTGTATTAAGTGTCGCTGTATTTGCATGCTAGTCAGAAAGTGGAACTGCCAGGCCAAAAAAACTCAAAACAAAAACTACAGGCTAAAAACAAACATTGTTCTGATGTTCCCGATAACATTTATATGTGACTCAAGCACATCACAAATTCACTTTTTATTTCAAAGCATTTCAGCACAAAGTCTAGAGGATGTTTTAGGGTGATAAACACACAAGGCCAAAAAAAAAAGCAAAATTTTTTAAAATGCCAAAAAAACAAGAGCAGATTGATTAGTTTTTTCAGTTTTTAAAAGCTTTGGTTGCATAGCTTGTAGGTACAGGGTACATGTAGATGTAAGTACTTGTACCGGGTATATATACATGTATGTTCAATACACACAGGTACCGTTACCAATATGGTGATTTTAGAGAAAATGTGTGTACTTCATGAACATGTTCACTTAAGAATTAAAAACAGTCTGCGCAAAAATCAGTTATAAATGCATGTAAAGCATACCAACTGCTAGAATTTACATGTACTGTACTCTTTCCCTGCATATTGCATGCTTGTTAACACACTGAGTGCTGACTACCAGTATCTTGACTATGAGAGTATTCATACATGTACATGTAGATGTACCAGAATTTGCCGCTGTGAGCGTGCAGTACATGTACATGTATATTTACACTGAATGAGAAAAAAAGGCGCATTCATACATGTACTTAGTATGGCAAAACGAGTGCCCTGAAGTGCTCTATGTGCATGTGGATATGTATGCATTGTCAGCAATCAGTGTGTTTATTTGTTGCATAAATATTATTTGTGGCATTTTCATCATTTCCAGCTCGTCAGTTTTTTCTTATGAGATATTGTCAGTTATGCATGCACATTTTGGTGGATTCATTTTCACTTATACATGTATGTGTACATCTGGTAACATCCCACAATCATGCATGTTGAAGTACATGTACCGGGTACCAGTGAGAAAATCAAAATGGTCAGGTTCATTCCGATAACCTGCCTTTTTCTTTCTCCCTATACCAAAAACTGTCATAAGGTTCCAAACAATTTGAAATATTGACATACATGTATTACATCTACATGTATAAAACAGTCCCCAAGCCAAAATTCCCTGACATCTCTCCATTGCATGAAGGCTTGTTTTCATACTCTTCTGCGATATGGGTCATTCTATAAATCAGAGGTCCAATTTTTTTGTGCCCCTGTCAAATCTGACATATGATTTTGTAAGTTCAGAGCAATTCTCTAATTTCTATGAGTGATGAATTAATGCAAATTACCTGCCAAACAAGTACAAATACATGTAGTCTGAAATCAATGTCTGATATTTCCACGTCAAATTGAATAGGACAGGTGCACCAGGGACACAAAAATGTCACACTTTTGGACCCCTAATTTATAGAATGAGGGATATGAAAAGAGCAATGTATTATAAACAGTTGAGATTATTGCTTCATACATGTACATCAAATCCAATATACATGTATTTGTAAATACATTTTACCGGTAATACAACTCTTCACCTGCCAATTAAGTGTATGTACATGTTCATGTACATGTATTTACCGGTACATGTAGTGCATGCAGGGTCAGGCAGTTTGCATATGGTTGTGAACATGTACCTGTACTTGCTAAGACCTCATTATTTCTATCATATCAGTAGCCCAAGAGACTGATGACTCCATGTACCGGTACATACATACATGTGCATGTGCATACATGTACATGTGTACGTACACATGTACAGGTACAGCATGTACCATCTATATACTAAAGCTTTGCTGAAACCAAGTTTGATTTTCATTGCCTTACAAGTATTTGTAGCATGCTGAATTATTTTGCCTTTGAGCATGTTGAGAAAGATTCTGTTAGGACACTTGTACTTTTACTTTAAAAACAGTTACATCTCATTAGTTGTTTGTGAACATGTACAGTATATATGTACAATTTGCTTGAAGGTCATTTACCTATGGCTTTTTTTCCCAATGCAGTGCCAAAGCAAGTGATGCTTACATGCCACTGCAGATAAGAGGTGGAGTTGGCCAGTCTGAAGGTAGGAGTACATTGAAGCGACTTGTGACTTGTCCTTATTTTCAACAAGCATATTAATATTCCTCAAATTGTTTCAGATATTGAATTGAATAAAGCAGAATTGTGGTACAGTCAAGTGGGTCAACTTTCATCATAACAAAGTTGCTGGAACCAGACAAAGGTTTTTGTCATTATAACCATTGTCCATGTTATAGAAGAATTGAAAAACAAAGAAAAAATGAGAATTCAAGAAATTGGGATTCTTCAAATCTGTTCTTGATATAAGTGTTTTATTATAATTATGCTCTTTGTAAGGAAAGTCAAATACATACATGTACATGTATATTCCACTGATTCCCAAATTAACGTGCTAAAATGAAAGAAAATAAAACTTCAGAAGAACAATATACCAGATTTTACCTTGAAATAAAAGCATTTGCTGAAATGTAAGGCATTCTGGCAAAACGAGAGAGACCCGGGCAATTGGCAGTGGAGAAAACAGAAAGTAAAACATCATAAAATACATGTACAGACCTTTAAAGTTTTGAGTTTTATATTATTGACGTTCAGAAAGTTCCCACTGGTTTTCTTCTGGAAAAAATTTCTTCTACAATTTTTATACGAAATCTGTAAAATATGTACATACATGTATACCGGTACATGTACATTGTATGTACGGTGAACATTATCAATGTTAAGTATGAAAATTAAAAGAATAAATCACATTCTTTGTAGCCTGTGCCTAGTTACCATGGTTACATCTGATTTGCCAGAATCCTTCACATATATTCATTTTGTAAATCATTGTCGGTTACACTTTATCCTGTGTATGCATATATAGCAACATATGACCACACCCCTTTATTCAAGCCTTCAAGAGATGGTATACCAAACTTCTCTTGTTATCCTTGTGATCTCATATAGCATAGTGTTCTTCCTAAAATGCTCCATTTTATGTTATCCTGGTTAATGATTATTCAAGCAATAAAAATTATACAAGCTTTGCATACTCGCTTGCCAGGTGTTTCGGCTGGAGAATCAATGTTTTCATTTACATACATGGACATGTACATGTGTTTTGCCTGTTCAGTACAGTACTTCATGATCTACATGTATGTACATGTATCATGTACCGGTACATGTACTTGTACTCATATGTACTGAAGTTCATGTACAGTAAACTCCGACTAAGTCGGCATCACGAAACTTGTCATATTGTCTACATGTAAGTCGGCCTTTTGAAAAAAGTCCCAATAATCCGTAATGCATTTCCATTGAAAATTTCATTTCTAAGTCGCCATTTATAAGTCGTCATTTCATATACTGGTAAGTCAGCATGATTTTCTCGGTCCCTTTTCTACAAAACCACAAAAATTCATTTGTATAACTTAAGTTGGCATTAAAAAATTGTGCTTCAGTATCAGTTTTCCTCCGCCACTGTTGCCAAGAAGTGTCAAGTGACAAGTCCCACATTGCTTGACTGATGTCTGTTAGCAGCACAGGCTGTGGTTGATCGGCTAGCATGAGTACATTAATACCTGTAACCCCTTTAGTGGTACACGCATACACTCTGTCCATTTTGGGGGATCGCCTTATTGAACGAACTTAACCAATGCGTGTGCGGATGAGTGTTCGTTTTCTGTACCGTAACTGTATCAAGTACATATACGTACATGTATTGCACTGTCGAGTCTTGATGTGATATGGAAGTGGCTTGCCATCCTTGTGTTGTCCTTAGGGGTACTTGTATGATCAATTACCGAATTTGCAGCATGAGGATAATAATTTTCTGGTATCGACCATGGAGGTAGAAAGAAACCAGGGTACATGTAAATCAAAGCCATTGAATTAGTGCAAGGAATTAATGTACAGTACATAGGCAATACATGTGTACATGTACATGTACATGTAAGTCAGCAAAATGACGAAATACATGTACAGCACAAGTCGACATTTACGTAAGTCGTCATAATTTCTTGAGTCCGGAGAGTGCCGACTTAGCCGGAGTTTACTGCACTAGTATTCTGGTACAACTGTCCCATAAGATACAATGTACATGTATGTGTACATCCCACTTGTAGTGTAAACATGCATTGGACATACTCTACATGTGTACAAATTGACAAATTACATGCATTGCGTGAAGCCAGTTAGAGCATGGCTCGGTGCAAAGTGTTGAGAATGCACATTAAAAAATATTGTGTAATTTGGAGGTACAATGTAGTTTAACTGTCAGTGTGCTGAATCTTTTTGTGTTTCCCGTTTCCATTTTGTTATGATTTGGCGTCACATGTAGTTAGAATTTAGAAAGTTATACATGTACCTGTCTGCTGCACATACTGGTAACTTTTGCTTCAAACTAAATCCTTAAAATGGTTAAATTTTCTTTGTTCTGATGACTACATGTAGACTGGATGCATGTGGGTAGTATAACTGCATAGAATCTGCCAAAATCCTATTCCTTGCACTGCCTGAATAGAAACATTCAGCACTAGGATGGATTGGCTGGTGGTCAAACTAAAGAGGGAATTTTTTTACTAAGTACTGAGCTTTATGATTGGAGTGCCACTCCACTTACAAGTGCTTGGCTTGTGTCATAGAATACACACGAGTAGTTTCTAGCATCTTGGCATAAGTACTGTACTAGGTGCTTGGCACCAATGGCTTTCATGTGTTACCCTAGCTTGTCTTTTTTCATTGGTGATGGACAGTTTTGTAAGGAGAACCATGACGTGTATGCTTGGCCATGTTGTCAGGAATTGGACAAAATCCAGTACACAAGCTCGTTGGATTAGACACAAACACTGACAGATCATTTGCATTACTAACTCGTGAATTTGACATGTTTGACTGAAGAATGGATCTGTGCAGATTCAAGGGATTTTTAAACAAGTTCTTAGGAAGGTTAAGACATGTCCTCACATACTGTAGCACAAAACAGAAGTGCTTGTTAAAGATGTTGAATATTACAAAAAGAGAGCAAAGCACAGAAACGTCTTTCTCCCACCATGTACACGTGAATAATTCTCCTGTTCCTTTTTCTTTTCCAGTGATTTATGACAATGCAGGTTTCCAACCCACCTCACGAAACCGACATGAAGGTAAATGAAATGTGTCATTTAAACAATGAATTTTTGTGTTCTGTGTGGGAAGTAGGAAACCTCGCAATACCGGTACCTTTAGTAATTCTGTCCATACCTACAGTGTACGCTTCATACGGTATCTTCCATTACCCTCTTTGGATTCACATTCTAACCCCTTTTCCCCCATGTTATTCTTTCACACCTTGCAGAAGCAATTTATGACAACAGAATGCCTGAGCTCCCACCCCCTAGAGTCAAAGCTAAAGCACAGAATAAAGATTCTGGTGACTATGCCTCAGCCTATGACACACCGCGGCAGGCTAATCCATACTACTATATCCATGGGGGTAAGAATATCACCAACATTTTCATCTTCCCAAATGGTCTTGATTGGACCTTTACAACCACAATTGTCCAGTGCTGTGCTATTTATTCAAACAAGGTCAGTAAGCTAATTTCAGATCAGTATTCAGCATACAAGTAAAATACTGGTACATGGGAATAACACTATTGGAGAATTTTTACACAAGAACATTGTGTGAATGAGTTTGTTTCTGCATTCAGTTGGGGACCCTGAACAATAGAGGACAATAAGGTCCCCGATTGACAGAGGGTCCCCGATTGACAACTGTGTACAAAACATATGGGTGGTCCTGTAAAAAAGTTAAAGTACAAACAAAAGAGGAACAATAGGGGGTCCCCAGTTGCAGGCAAATACACACTTGGGTGAGTGTGGGACAGGATGGGCATTGGATGATAGTGACCAAAATTTGTTAGATTACTTTGTGAAAAAAGGAAGTAATAGCATTCACTCAAACCATGAAATACTCCAAAATATAATCCCATCAAGGTTTCTGATGTTTTAGTAGAACAGCTTTGGTCTGATGTCTTTATGTATACTTGTGGCACCTTGTTTATCCCAAAGATGAAGTCATCTAGGCTTGAGGTACACTTATTTATTTGGAACAGCGAACTGTCTTACTGATTGAAAAGAAAGGCTTGAATTGAAAACTTACCACCTGGATGTATTTTTGGCTTTGTCTTTAGAGGGTGCCCCTCAGGAGCCACCTCCCTTACCACCAATGAGGAAACCAGTGAAAAAAGGTAACCAAGCAAGCTTTTGCATATATGTTTCATTCAGACATGAATTTACCTTGTTTATTAGAACATAATTGCTGGCAGATAGAGAAGTACTGTTTAACAAATTCCAAAATTTTAACTGCTGCACTCAAACAATTTGATGAATAGGAACATCATCTTGACTCCAGATCACAGCAAAACTACTGTTTCCCTTGAATAATGCATGTTAATTTCAAAGGCAAAGTTCATGAAACGTTCATTTATCATGAAACAGTGGAATAATGATTTGTGACTGGTTCATTCTTGCTACGAAAGCAAGCACAAATTCTTGAAAGCAATGTTTGTTCTTGGCAGTAGTTGGAACACATTTCAACTCCATTGTAGCAAATTTTGCTACATCAGATTTTCTTTACTTTTACTTTCATGAATTGGACTCTACATGAAACACAGTTGTTTTACAATTTCCGTTGGTAATGTCTTTTCTTTTTTTGTCTCTACAAACCCAGAACCCAGTAAGAAACATCGACGGGCAGACACCAATGTGATTGCTGTGAAGTTTGATACTTTGGTCAGCTCTAGCCACCAACATGCAGGGAGTCCAATCTTCTGCTGTAACTGTGACGCAGCCTTCTCCAGTGTTAGCCAAACTAACACAGAGGTCAGTGGGTCACAGGTGGGTCAAAAGTCAGAGGGAAAGAGACAATTTTTAGTCAGAATTCCTTATCAGGAATTACACCAGGCTTCTTTGAGAAATTACATGTACTCAGTGTGTGGATCTTGCCAAGTAAAAGGAAACTTTAATATCCCTACGCCATCTGGCATTTTTCTCAGTGCACGGTAGGTGACCCTAACGTAATGCAACAGATATTAAAGGCCAATGTAGTAGACCAGGTCACACTCCTTGATATGCACACTTAAGCAAATCATAACTATCTCACAACATATTTCAGATGTGGAAGTGTGAGTTCTGTGACAGAGAGAATCCAGTGACTGCCACCATGCAGAATTTTCCCCAGGAGAATGACTTGACCTTCACCATTCAGCCAGGCTCAGGAGGAGGTGATGACACAGCTGTTATCTTCATGGTTGATATCTCTGGCAGTATGTCAGTAACCACAGCAGTAAGTAGCATTGGTTTTCTTCATTTTACACTCTTTTTGTTTGAAGGATCGTCTGTTTTCAATTCTGTTTTATTTGTAAGGCTCACATGCCTTTAAGTATTGAGCTATCATTTTTACACATGTACATGTTTGGAATATAACACAACTCTCTGAGATTTCAAAACACCTGTCAAAATAGATTTTTTATCACATGTAATAATTTCTGCAGTGTTGTATTGAAGTTCATCACAAGTCCCTACGAATCCCTACAAGTCCCTGTAAGTCCATCAAAGTCAATCAATCTTAAGCCAATTCACAAGCTTTTCAAAGGAGCGGTGACAAAAGCATTTTTTTGTCGTTGTTCCCCCCGTTACTCATGACTGACTTTGTCATACATTTATTTCTGGACACCTGTAGGTTCCAGGAGGTACCTTCAAGGACCAGAGGTTGAACGATGAAGGGACAGCTCTCTCTGCTTACAGAGAGCAACTGGCTGAACAGGAAGATCGATATACTGCAGGACCCAAGAGAGAATACTCCTACATCTCAAGATTACAGGTACGGTTGGAGCTCAGAAATGGAAAAGGTTTTCAGCTAATAGAAATGCATTGAGTTTGACATAGTGTATATAAAATTGCTCATTCTGCCTGTACAGTTGAAACAGGCATGCTGTTTTTATGAATAATTTCAACTTGTGTGTCTCTTCAGAAATGCATGTAGCATACATTAGTGTCTTTAATTAATTCTATTGCAGTGTAGCACGATGCGTGAGGAAGTATGCATTACTTAGTGTGTGCATTGCTCTGATAAAATTGTAAGATTCATTTCTTAATGGGGGTGTGCATGTATTCGCATATCATTTTCCTGAGTGCTTTATTTTAGGGAAAAGATTTTATTGCACGCAGTATTTTCAAGAAATCATTTCTGTTGTGTCTTGAAAGGCCATGCAGTCAGCTATTGATCAGCAACTTTCCAAAATGGAGAGAACACTTGGAAATAAGCGAGTAGGAATTGTGGCATTTAACGACAGTGTAAGTATCACATAATTTTTCATTGATCAGTAGGCCTATAGTTTCCACTGAATGTTTCAGCAAAGGTGTGCATAAGGCAAGAGTTTTCTCAGTCTGGATTTTACCTATTCCTGTCCTTGTTAGGTGACTGTGATTGGTGATGGAAGTCAAGACCCTGTGCCTCTGGAGGGCGCTGGTTTGACAGATGAACAAAGTATCATCAGCTTGGGCAAGATATTCCCCCTACCAGCGCCCATCAGTGAGGTCAGAAGATGCCTTTCAGACAAGGTCTTCAGGTACATGTAGTTGAAGCAAGAAATCTTTGAACTTTTGAAAAGTGTTCTCTTTATCTCTTCGTAAGTATAGCCCTACATCCAAGGTATTTTTGTAGGGTCTTTTTCAAATCATTCAAAATCCAGAATGCATCATTATGTGTATAGAGTTGGCCGAGGCTTCCCTGGTTTTGCGTCAGGGGGACTATTTCCATTATATTTCTCCATAAAGAACTCTTCACTCTCCAAGGAAGGTTGGGAATACTGTGTTAAAACAGTTGGTGCTTTCAGTCACCCCCTCCCCTGGCAGATATGGCACTGAATTGGATGACTAGATCAGACATTGGTAGTAGCTGGCTGCAATGGTGCTGAATCCTGTCAAATAAGTCTGTCAAACCAAGGTTATATTAGGCCTGTTGCAACTTCAGATGGCCGCTAAGGCCAAAAAAATTATTCTGCTTCCGATTACCTGTCTCTCAAAAGTAAATAGGTTTGGTAGGTCAGAAACTTTTTTTGGAGGGGGGGTCAAATGTTTTGTGCTGATTGAATGACATGAATGAGAATGCAAGCTTCTAGAAATTGCCTCAAAAAGTGATAAAAACTTGGCTTAATCTATGTAAACATTTCTAGTCAGCAATTCTTAAGAATTATGAACAATTTACACCAATATGCACGACATTAGTCAGGTAATTACAACAGCAAAGTGGCCAACAATGTCCAAGTATCGCATGGTAAGCATCCATGATGCATCCAGATGGGCGGGCAATAAACCTTGAGCTGCAGCAGGAAATTCTGTGGAAGCACGCTTGCTTCAAGTACCGGTACAAGCAAAACAACCTCAAATTTAACTCATGAACATACAAAATACATACACAGACAACAAGGCAAGCTCTGTAAATTAACTTGCAGAAATCCTCTTGCAGCATCAATGTCTTTTGACATGTTGCCGTAGGGTTGTGTATGTGTGCGGCACCATTGGTATAGACTGGTTGCCACACTTCGGCATGGGGGAACCAGGAGAACATTGCTTGAATGCATTGAGCTTTGCACACGAGTTTTCATCATTGTTACAGCGAAACATGAAGGGAATGGAGGTTTCTGTTCAAAAGTTGCAAATGCAAGCAGGGAAACATAAATAAAAATGTTTAATATGAAAAAAGGTACGTTCAGAGGTGATTTGTAAAGACAGAAAAAAGATAAGATTTATTTTTATATATTTTTGGAATTTTTTTTTTGAAATTTATTTTTAAGTTGCCGATAAAAATTCAAGGGTTGCGCCGAAAAATTAGGGTCAGTCAGGAAATGGGAAGCAGAAGTGGGTTTTTTTGCCTAAGATGTGATCATTGTGAAACAGTTTTGAACTTGTAATTTTGATTAATGTGACCTTTTATCCCACCTCTTCCCCCACCCTTTCCTGCTTATTAATAGCCTGACGGAGGGAGGACAAACAGCTCTTGGACCTGCTCTCATGTTGTCTGTTGCTATGGCATCACAGAAGCCCGGGTCAAAGGTCATAGTATGCACAGATGGCTTGGCGAATGTTGGGCTTGGAAAGCTAGATGTGACTGATGATGAACACTATGATAAAGCATCTGAATTCTATGAGTATGTTGGACATTATGCAAGGGACAGTGGGTAAGATTTGCTTTCTTTCCTTTGGCACAAGTTGTACAAGTAAATTGGTCTTCCCTTAGTTTGATTTACAGCCCATTAGGAATTCATATCCATGGGATTTTCTCACAGGGATGTGATTTCTCCGTTTTTTTCCGGAATTCCGGTTTTGGGGCCTCAAAAGTCAACCCTCGTGAATCACATTAATTAGTTGAGAAAATCGGGGGTACAATATGCTAATATTTGTCTTCGCATGCATGCCAAAATGAACGGAAGAATAAACTCACTTGTTTATTCTTTCTTTTCAAGGATCAGACATGTCAGACCTGGTACGCCTGTGTTATATTTACAATACACTCTGTACTTGTATACAATGTACTGTACAACGTACTTATGTATTCCTCACACATCCTCGTACCTGAGAATGCGGTTTTACAAAACTGGTATTTCGCGTGCATGATATGTGAGTAAAATGTGAAACCTGGCGCTCGTATTGAGCCCAGCTGCGTTGTACGTACGCACACTGCTGTGTAAACCGTACGCACATGATTTGACTACACACATAATGGCAACACACGCATGAGACACGTTCTCGGTGTTGGTGCGCTCGTCAGCAGGAGTAGTACGGTTCACATTGTCGTATGCGTACATCCACGTTGCATTCTGGACTTGATACGTATACCGCTCTATGTAGTCTAGTTCCTGTAGACGTTAAATGCGGTATCAGTAACGTAATTCACTTGCTTAAGGATCAAGCTAACATTATTTTGTGCGGCCTCGTGTACGTGTGCACGTTCATAGTATCGTACCATGCGCGTGTGTACAGTTGTACACGTGCAAACATGTACAGTACAACATCAGAGCCAACATGTCGCTCTCCAAGTTCAACAGGAAAATTCTCTCAAAAGGAGACTTGTCAGCAAGAAAGCTAGATAAACATGTCACCAATAAATTTTAATGGAATTGGTTGGAAGAGTATGTCATGGTGGACGGCCTGAAAGTGCAGTTAAGCCGGTGTTTTGTCAAAGCAGCAATCGCAGGAAAAGTTCTCTGTGGAGTATTATTTATTTTATGTCCTGTTTTGTTTTTGTGGAACTTATGTGCAAAACCAACTCAGAAAAGTTCACATTTTTCTCAAGAGTGGACTGAGATCCTTAAATAAAATGAAATTAGAAATATTAATGTTTGATTTGTCCACAGTTGCTAGAATTATAGTACAAAGTTAACTTCATAAGGGGTAGTAATGTCAAAATATTTTTGCTTAAAACATGCCCCAGAGAGGCTTAGAATGCACCACAGAGCATCTAGACTTCAAAATTTTCCAGGGCCCACTTAACCCCACGCCATAATGGCTTCACGCTTCGCACTTGCAGTTTCAGTTTTTTTCACAGCCCTCCAATCACATCCCTGTCCTCAGCACATTTCCTACTTCAGACATCTCTAATCCCTTTATGTTGGACCTTGATATTATTAAAGACTTATAAGTTGTGCCATCTTTGAAAAACATGCACACATTAGTAATTCCCTATGATGAAATACTTGAACGCCTGGAGAATGTGAACAGGTGGTTCTTTATACATGTACATGTAGGGAAAAGTAGAAGTGACCATGCATCATGTAAGGAAGCGTACATCATTCACTTTTGTTGTAAGTTTACAAAATTGATCCATGGGGGGTTGTAGAACTGCTTCAGTTTTGATATATGTTTTTTAAAGAGGAATTGCACCACCGAGTAGCAAGTCACTCATGATAATGTGTTATTAACCCAGGAGGCTGCTCTTTTTGTCTCACAGTCTGTTCTCTCTGAGAGAAGTCCAAATGACTCACTGGTTTGTTGTCAGGATTGCCTCCTAAACTCCCTGTGTAATTGTCTTGTCTTTAGGACTTGTGTCTCTGTCTTGACAATGGAGGGGGAGGATTGCCGTGTGATTGAGCTGGGCAATGTTGCCGATAAAACTGGTGGACAAGTAAGCTTTAGAATTAGATCAAATCTATGTATATGAAATATTGAGCATTTCAGTAAGATTACAGAAGAATTTAGATACGGTGGTGAGGCTTCTTCTTGGTGGTGAGGCCAGAATGCATGACATATCATTGCCATTATTATTATTTGTTTGCCCATCACAACTGAACCCTGTGTTGGAATGATTCAGTGGACACAAACACCTGGCACTGTTCCATCTACTTTATAGTACCAGGGCACAGAATCATTGTGTCAGAGTCAAACTTGAGAACCAGTCATGCAGGATTATAATGGATGACCTTATAACAGCTGAAAATGTGTATTAAGTCCTAGAAACAAAGATTCCTTAAGAAACAGAAATATTCTTAGTTACGGGATTTTCATAGCAGCTGTCAACCGTTTTTTTTGGTTTTTTTGCTTTTTTCATGGGTGAGTTTTTCATTGTCCTGTCATCTTCCAGAGTGTGATCATTTCTCCAACCTGTTTTGCTCTTATTCATCCAGGTGAATGTAGTTGATCCCATGAAACTCAACGAGGAGTTTGCCAACATCTTAGATGATCCTATTCTAGCAACCAATGTCTCAGCTAAACTGGTGTTGCATAAGGGATTGTAAGTTCTCATAAAACTTTTTGAAGTCACATTTTATTCTCTTGGTTGAAGTTAGGCTGTCGAATTGCCTTGACAGTTTCTAGATGTAGCAAATATATGATGAAGCATACTTTTTAAGAGAATCGACAATCAAATTTAAGTTGTTACCACAACTTTTAATATCTCCTGTGACCTTTTACCTAAATTAATCCTGGGTATATTTTGGATAAAAATTTCAGCATCTCAATTCATGAAAATCTTATTTTGAATGTTTTTAAAGCAAGCATGTAGCATTGAATGGGGAGTTGTTAAAGCTGTGTTAAACATTTGTATCAAAAGAACTTTTTCTCTGCTGATTTCTGCCCTCTTCCATCGCCAAAAATCTTATGAAATATTTGTGTATTCCTGACAAGGTACTTTCGTGATGATGAAAATATGGCCGGTGAGCATGCCAGTCAAGCTACTCGGAACATTGGCATCGTGACCAAAGACTCTGAGACCACCTTTGAATTTGGTGTCCGTACTAAGCCTGTACGAGAAGGTAAGCAAAGGAATCTCTCATGGTCTCTGCAGATACTACTGAGGGCGCTGTACAGCCAAGAAACAAAGGGCATAAGGATAGTGCTTACAAATACAGTTGGGGCAAAAAGTTTACATACACTTGACAGTAAAAAGGGAGGGGGGTAAATTTTTCACTGTTTGAAATAATTTTGACAACTCTTTTTATTGGGTCAGACAAATTGTATCTCAACTTAATGATTATATTGTGTATTTCAGTTGAAAATACTCGGAGACATTTATTATAGTTCAAAATATTAATATATCTGAAAAACCATTTTGGGAAAAATTTAAATCGATCCCCGTATTGTGCTTCAAAACATTTCAGAAAACAGTCCACTGCAACTGTGAGATGTGACCAGAAAGTGGCACTCAATATTAGGGTTGGAGTATATAAAATTTTGATTTCTTTGTAAATAGAAATATGAATCATATCTATGCCTCAGGGTGTTTTTATTTGAGGCATACACCACGTACATTAAGTAGAAACCCATCTTGTCTGTCCTCATGAAAAGAAAAGTTGGTAGGATTGAGTGAAGTTGTGAACTTTAAGGAAAATTGTTGTAGTACCAGGTGTACCAATATGTAAGCTTTTTGCCCCGACTGTAGTTGGTTCCTATGCATTGTTTACCCTTGTTTTGCTGTAGAGAGATGATTCAATTCAATAGATTGAAACTTCAGTTGGAATTTGTAAGTTGCCAGCAATGTTGTAGTCACTCTCTGAATTTTTTTCACTAACAATGAGAATAATGACAGAAAGAAAATAAATTTGGATTTTTTGGTTTTTTTTTTTACTTTTTTAATTTTAACAGAAGTACTCAAAAAAGTAGTTGGCAAGTACTTTCCAAAATGTTTGTCTTAGCTTTACTAGATTCTAAATGTCCGAACTCTTCAATTTCTTTGGTTTGTTCTGAGTATTTTTCAGCTTTGTCCTTAGCAGAACACCGTAACTACTGGCAGTAAACTAAACCCAGAGTGTACTTGATTACAAGCCTAGTGTGAGTGCTGTGATTGTGTAAACCTGTTTACCTATTGTGTTTACTGTTTGTGCTCTCTTGCTACAGTTATCTATGACAACTTTGGTGGCTTGACTATAACACACAAAGATGATGAAGGTATTGTATTGCATCAGTCCCTTGGTGATTTGATTTGATTTGATTTGATTTGATTTGATTTGATTTGATTTGATTTGATCTGATCTGATCTGATCTGATCTGATCTGATCTGATCTGATCTGATCTGATCTGATCTGATCTGATCTGATCTGATCTGATCTGATCTGATCTGATCTGATCTGATCTGATCTGATCTGATTTGATCTGATTTGATCTGATCTGATCTGATCTGATCCAGTTAGGTGTGGATCCATTCATATTGTCTTTCTCTCTTCTGATGACAGTGAAAGAAGAGCCCGTTTATGACTCGATAAATCCCAAGAGTATGATAGAAGGAATGGAAAGACTGCCATTCCAGTTACAGATATATTTTACAGGACGAGACGGTGCACAAAATCTACGAGTCATCACCATGGATCGACCAATCACCAAAGACCGCCATTTTGCTGAACAGAGTAAGTTGAGTATTAATTTGTGGTGTGGCATCAGTTTCCATGGTAATCCTACAGATTCATTTTGTGAACAAACTTGGCTGAAGTGTGCTCTCTATATCTTAGGTTCTCCTAGCTTGGAAGACAAATCGTTGGTATCTTATTGTTTGTTACCTAAGTTCATAGTTGTCAAAACATTCTTGTTAAAACTTAACAGGCATGAGGATTTGAATTTCCACTGTCCCAGTATTTTGGCTCCACAAATTGTCTGACATTTGCATTAATACTTGTATGAACGAGGTTGAAAAATTTAATTCCTCAGACCATGCTAAATCAGTTTTTTTAGAACAGTTGTGGGTCCTAATTGAAATTGGATAAAATACCAATCTTTGACATAGATTTAGAATGCCTCATTTGAGTGATGATAGTAACTCGCTGGTTTCTTGCTGTACTTTAACTTGTCCAAAAATAAGTCAAAAATTTCAAATACTTCTACTGTGTTGTTTATTGCCCTCAAGCAATTAGAAATTGTATTTGATTGACAAATTCAAAGTATAACTGATGTGTCCTATGTTGTCTTGTTTGTATCACCTTGACTAGATGCCAATGTTGCTGTTCTGGGTGCTCATGCTGCTCAGTCAGCAGCTAAGCTAGCCGTGGAGGGTCTGTATGGAGAGGCTCGTATTAATGCTCTAGTAACCCAGAAGCTTGTGGAGAGACATGCGTGAGTAAATCATTTATGTATGTGTGCCTGTCTCTACTTGGAGAATGCTACACAGATCCTCTGGATAGAGACAGGCGTCTTATCACAATATGATAAGAAATGGCACTGGTAATGTAATGGCTTGGGTTCCCGAAGGGGATTTCTAGACTGGGAGTGCAGGGGGCATGCTCAGGAAAACTTTAAAAAGATAATCAAATTCTGCAATCTGGTGCGTATGAAATGCTCCAAAACACGAGGGGTTTGTCCCCCTAAACTCCGCGTATACCCTTGAGAAAAGTCATCAACAGATAGAATGACAAATGATTTAGAAGAGATGTGAACCCACAACCACCAGTATTGCATAGCAGCCTTCTACTGAGTGAGGCATCTCATCCTAATGGACTCAAACCTCTCCAGTACTATACCTGCAGTCAATTTACTGAGTTCATGGATTGGCTGTTTACAGTCTTCCAGATTGTTGGGATCATTACTCAAGAGAGTATTGACCAAAAAGCATATCTATTACCTACACTTCTTAACTGTGCTTTAGTAGTCTAGGTAAATTGTGTACTTATGTGAATATAATCTAAAGACACTGCTCCAGCATCCAGAAATAGAAGTTAGAACAGCAACGATACCACACTCGCATACATGTTATGCACATGCATTCAATGCCTCTTCAACCAGGACACGTAGCATATTGTGACTTGCCTCTCAAGTTGAATGGGTACAATAGATGTATGATTATATTGCTGCTGTAGTAATGGTATTTCCTTGTTTTAGTTTATCTTAATGATGTCGATTTCATAATCTTTCAGACAACATCAAGGTGATGAAGGAGAAGATGTGTACCAGTCCTTTGTAGCCACCTTGGCTCCAATCCAGTCAGAACTCTACAGAGCCCACACAGTAAGACCAAGATCTTGCAGTTTTCTTAACACTTTACATGTATCTTCTAGTTGAGCTATTGTTTTTGAGAAACAGCTGAAAGATTTTTTTTTTCAAAATTGTTTTTTAGTTCACAGAGTATGTTTCACTGTACAGACCGGGTTTAAAGTCTCTGTTTTTTGGCAGGTTTCACTAAAGGAATTTTTGTTCTTTTTTGTACTCTGTAAGTGGAATTATGTTCTTTGCTTAATGCCCAATCAATTCCATTTTGTTTAGTCTGCTCGCCGTCAGCCCGGGGCCAGACCAGGTGCAGGCTTTGAAGATGAGGAAGATGAACCGGCAGAATACACATTCTTTATTGGAAACCAGAAATCAGCCAAACGGGGACTGTCAAAGAAGGTAAACTTAATCTTGATGTCAGCAATAATAGGAACACATTCAAGAAGACTCCACTCTGTGAAAGCACCCTCTAAATAACAAAGAAGAAAGTTGGGTTAACACTACTGGGGGCAAGTTGAATTGGGACTATGTAGTGATTTTACCTGGTACCCATGATATGTTTTGTGCATAGATTACCAGGGATTAGATTATCAGTTGTGTACAAATAGTAGCTGATTATGGTTTTTCTTTTTCTCAGCATTTTAAAAATAATTAAAACTAAACAAAACCTGTTGAATTGGTGCCTCATTATGTATGTCATCAGTTTGCTGAATCCCAACAAGTTAATTTTGTTTCTTCTTTCTTATTGTTCAGGCCAAAAAGAGAAGACAGAAGATCACAGATAAGCAAGCGAATCTCTTCTATAAGATGAAAAATGCAACAAGCAACATGTTCCAGAAACACAAAGGGCAGATGAAAATGGGAAACATCAACTAAACCAAGACTCATTGAACATTCAGTACTCTAAGTTCTTTCCCTAAGCAAAGCCTGTGAGATCCAAGACTCATTGAACA